AAATTAAAAAACAAAAACAAAAAAAATCTCAGTAGCATTCGTATACAGTAACAAATTGACGAGAAATGAGGGAAACACCTTTCAAAATAGCATTGAGAAAAAAGAAACTTATGAATCAAACAAAAGAAGTGAAAGACTTATATTTTGAAAACTATAGTACTCTGAAAAAGGAGATTGAAAAGGACATCAGAAAGTGGAAAGGTATCCTGTTTTTGGTTAAAACAGTGAAAATGACCATAATTCTAAAACTATTATTCATATTTATTTTTCCCTTTTTTATGTATTTGATACAGGGTCTCACTATGCAGCCTAGACTCGTAGTGACCCTCTTGTTTTCAGCCTCCCCAGTGCTGGGATTATAGGCATGTACCATCACACCCAGTTATACATATTTAATGCAACCCCAATCAAAATAAAAATACCATACATCACAAAACTAGACAAAGCAATCATAAAATTCTTATGGAACCAGGAGAGACCTAGAACATCAAAAGCAACAAGAACAGGACAGGGGACATCACAATTCCCAACTTTAAGTTATACTACAAAGCTACCACAGTTAACAACAAAAAAACATGGTACTGGCAACAAACAAAACCCCAGACCTGTAGGTCAGTGGAAGAAATGTAGATACATAATCGATGTCGATGCAGAAACAGCTCGAAGCATGCTCAGCTCCTTCACCAGAAGCCTCTTCAATAAATGGTGCTGAGAAACATTTCCAAATGCTGCAAATTGAACCTATACACATTTCTCACCATGCACTGCACTAAAATCAAAATAGATTAAATATCTAAATGTCAAAACAGAAACAATCTGCTGGAAGACAGAATAAGAAAGTCCTAAAGATACAGGTTTAAGCAAAGATTTTATAAACAAAACCTCAGTTGCACAGAAAGTATTACAAAGAACCAACAAAGTGATTCTCTCAAAAATCCGTAGATTTGAAAAAGCTTTTGCACAGCAAAAGAAACTACCAACAGAGTTAAGAGACAATGCACAGAAAGGGAAAAAATTTTTACTACTTTCAGAGGAGTAACATCTAGAATACATAAAGAACTCCAAAAATTCAGACCCCTAAGTTTAAACCTCCAATCTAAACATGGGCATTTGAAATGGAAAGATATTTCTCAAAGAAGTACAAAGAGCAAGTAAGTGTATGAAAACATGTTTCACATAACTGGCCATCAAAGAAATGCAAATGCAAACAATATTATCTCACACTAGAAAGAATAGCTATCATAAAAAAATCAATCACTACCAAATGCTGGTAAGGTTGGGGAAAAAAGTACTTTTCTCCATTGCTGGTACAAGTGTAAACCGGTACAAGCAACATAGCAATCTGTATGATTCCTGAAAACCTTAATCTAGATAGATTACATTTGGCCCAGCCACTCCCCTTCTAGGCATCTTTCTCAAAATGTTCGAAGCATCATACCACAGTGATATTTGTATTACAGCAGTACAGTTTATAACAGCTAAATCTTGGAAACAGGCCATACAACCATCAAGATGGGTAAAGAAAACATGGTATTTGTATACAACAGAGACTATTCTAACATAAAAAAGCATAAACTTGAGACATTTGTAGGACAATGGATGTACCTCTAAACCAGTCTTAAGTAAAATAATCAGATAAACAAGTAAACACTGCTCTTTTCTTATAAGACATACCCAAAGGGTAGAGAGCGTGAATCTATTCAAATGGGAAGGGGAACAAGAGAGGGAGGAGGAAAGAAAGGAACGGAATAAAAATAGAATGAAAAAACTTGAAACAAGTTTTTGTAAATGGGAAATGGGAGGAAGGTTAAAGAGAGGGGAACAGAATGGGAAATATAGTATCATGTACTGATAAAAATTCCCTATGATTGAGTAGGTAGGATAAATATGTACCAATAAAGACTTAAAGCTGAACAAACTCAGATTTAGCAAGTAAGGCACAATGAAGGCTGGGTGTCATCAAACTAATGCACCGCTGCACTATCTTGCCTGGGTGTTTCCTGATCTAATCATGTGGAAGCCAATAGCTACAATGTAAAAAAAAATGCATTATCATCTCAGGACTTTCCTCTTTTGATCCGCATTCATTCCTCTCACCCTCCCATGTTTATGAAGTTGTGTACAGTGCCAGTTCCCTTTTGAGTGCTGTAGGCACATAATTCCATCACGTTCTGAGAGTCAGGTTTATGTCAGTACATCACTACAACCAATTCTTACTGTCCACAATCTATAGCCTGCTATGTAAGCATCCAAGGCATCTGTGTGTGACATATTGCAGGGTTCTCTATTTCTCTTCTAATGATTTTCTTTCTTTATGAATGTTTTCAAACACATCATCACCTACTTTCTCTGACCTTTGAAAAGCTATTTTTAATCCAAGAGTGGAGTATACACTGATGCCTACCTACCTCATTTCCCAGATAAAGCCTTTTGACAGGTTTGTTACGTAAATCTTTGGGCAAAGTAATGCTGTACAGATTTTAAAATAAACCTTACACCAAACCTACAAGTATTGTATTAATGTCGCATATGAAAAACTGAAGCTCAAATACTAACTTGCTCAAAGTCACCCAGTTCAAAGACAGGTCTGACTACAAAGCCCAGCTGTTTTCATGGTATTGAATTTTGACTGAATAAACATAAACTGCAGATAATTATCAGATGAAAAAAAGTCTCTGAGAAGCATGGAAGGAAAATGGCACACTAATTAGTGGAACTCAGTTAAGTGGTATCCCCAGGGAAAACCACCATGTGGTAAGGAGAGTGTGAGGGGAGCCAAGCCCAAGAACCAGGGGGTATTCTGAGAACAGGACAAGCCCCCAACTGTCTTTTAGGTAATATCTGGATACGCTGAAAAGAAGTCTGAGGTTCCAGGTCTGCTAAGTGTCATTCATTCTTCTCTCTGAATTCTGTAACCACTTTGTATTATGACAGCAATTTTTCCCCACCAAACGTAAGACTAACCTATACCAAATCAGCTTCAAGAAACATTTTGTAGAAAGCAAAAGCCGGATATGGCATACTGTTCAGGTGTATAATAACTGCATCCTAAAACTGTTAGCCTATTCTACATCCAAAAAACTAATTCACTTTCAGAATCACTTTAGGAAACTCTTTACCTGACCTCTTATTTTTTAGTTGAACTACATGAGATTGATAATTTCTACTCCAAAATGTTGTTTTACTATGTCTATTCTGCATTTCCTGAAAGCTGTCATTTTGAAATAAAAAAAAAAAAGATATAAAAAAGTATAAAGAACAAACATTTGACATAACTGTCAAGGATCATAAGCTTTGATGGCAAAGAATCAGTTGTTTCTCAATTTTTCCCATAAACTCAGTTCTTTTGGGTGTAAGAAGGCCACAAGCACTAAAGACTTCTGAAGAAAGCCTGCTGGGTACAGGACACACTGGGTACAGGACATGGTGGGAGTCAGCCTTCAGCACCTACTGCCATGTCCAATAACAATGCCCTCCTGGGTGTGGAAACGGTGCTTGGTACATGCCAGAAGCTGAAGTTTCATTTCAGACATGCTCTTTCAAGCCTTCTTCCCATTCAATCACCCTGGCTAACAAAAGAGTGCATTACAAAACAATAATGGAAAAAAAACAAAACCTGCACCAGTCACCAATGTGTATTAAACGTTGGTTAGTTACTTCTCTTTGGCTTTGGTAAACTGTAAGAGAGTAAGGACTGGTACCATGTTGAAGGTTATTGAAGAATAAACTGGACAAAGGAAAACAAAATGAACAGAGATAAAGATCAGAAAGACACAACAAAGTTATGAATGGAAGTTATGTAAAAGAGAAATATTCTACAACAAATGAAGAAAGTTTCCATTTCCTTTCACATGAAACATTGTTACCACAACTAGCTAACAGAAATCACTGTAACAGTGGTGAAAATGACTTCATAAAACTAAAGATAGATGTTTGTTATGAGAAAAGCTCATTTAATGTCATGATGTTAGATACTCTAGATTTCATGATAAGATACAACTCAGCCTGAAGACAAAGCAAATAGTTCAGATTAGGGACACATGCTGAGTCTTCAAAAAAGAAAACCTTTGCCTTCTCTAGAACACCTGAAGTCTGAGATGAGTTAGATACCAAGCACTGGGCAGGGATAGAGGCCCATAATTCAAGCTTTATTTATATTACTGGGTCTGTGCAGCTCTCACTTTTAGGTAAGTGAACTGCTATTTATGGCAGAGGAATCGTCAACAGTAGTCCTGGATATAATCAATCATATTTTAACCATCAGGCAGTCCAAAGAAGTGTTTTTAAAGGACAGTTAAGTACTTTCATGTATACACTATTAAGGCATGTAAATTTTTGGTGTTTTCAGTATATAATTTTACTGTTATTTTTATTTTCTTTTTATCTTGTCTTACAACCACCATATTAGTTATGAAGTGACATAATTCTTTTTCTACCAGAACCAGTTTATCCCACTGAGAAAACTCTTGGTCTTACGAAAGGGAAACATATGAAAAATGGAAATGCACTGAAAACCAATAGGGAATATTTTTAGCTATCATAAAAATGCAATCATAATTAACTGATAGTCTTTTAACTTTGGAAAAACTCATGAGTAATTAGAATCAAAATAAGTATTAAAAGTAATTACCAGTGCTTTGTATGACAAAAGAAGAATAAAGCCACAAAGGCTAATAGCCCAATTAAGTAACTACCAGATTCCTTTTCAGTCAACACTAACAGAACCCACATTTGAATCAGTCAACAAAGCATATAAATATTTAACATTTCTTGAAATAACATTGTAGCAATAACAGAGACTACATATTTCTATTCACTGTTGTGACTAAGCACAAATTAACCAGGTTAAATATCAAAGATACATAGGGAATATTCCCAAATCAAAGAGAATATTAATTAAATGAACTTTAAAAGATTCAGAAAGTAGAAAACATTTTAAACATGAGACAGTGCTCAAACAATACTGACTTAATCAAGGCCTTTAAAGTCATCACCAAAATGCACTACGATATCTTTTTTTATTTAGTTTACAGAAAGAATCTCTAAGTACAGGTTGCAGAAAGAACGTGTTTAGTGCTATTTACATTCATTTTAAAACTCTGCTCTATACAAATTTAATTTTGATCAGTATGAACAATATTTTTGTAGCTCTACTGCATATAAAGCCTTCTCATCAAAGCATTAACAATGAATAAAATAACATGACTGCATTTAAAGAAAGCTAACCATTTGAAATCATTTACATTTAATGCTTAGAAGGGTCATGAACACTTACGAAATACAGAACATAATGTCAGCCTGCAACTTCATTTTTAAAAAGACTAAAGTTATTTATATGGAATACTGTTCTATATACTACACGCCAATCTATATGTGAGTTCTATAGTTAGGTATTTTATAAGTTTTTTTATTAAATATATTCTACACATATTTGTAATTTCATCCAGGAATATTTTTTCCTAGTGAAAAAAAAATATAAAATCTTTCATTTTTTTTACAGGTTTAGATGAAACTAGTTCATGCTTTAATGCTGTGCAAATTGTTTTTAGCATATCAACCTTTAAATTACTGGTATAAAATAAGAGTGGCATCTTTCATCATGTATGCCTTTAAAAAAAAATCAGCTTTTTTGATTTTCATACAACTGCAAGCACGAATATGAAATGCAAACTATATAAAGAAATAAAATTAGTACTGAGATTTATTTTTGTAATTTTGAGAATTCATCTGAACTCTCTAATGCGTATAACATTGGACACAGATAGAGATGAGATGTAAATATGGAAACGTCCAATTTTCTGGTATTCAAATAAGTAAAATTGATCAGTCAATGAGGTTTTCTACTATTTCTGCATGAGAATGAAAACCTCTGTGCGCCTCGCACCCTCCCACATTAAGGCTAGGAAATGCACTCTCACCCCTCCCTTGTGCTGTCTGAACAAGCACTCAGCAACAGCAGGCCCTAAGAGTGCATGGGTTAAACGAAAAAAATTAGTTTCATCAGCCCTCTACTGAGTGCTTTAAACAACAGGCACATTTTTTTTTTTTCATTTGTTGCAGTGAAAATAGTCACACTTAGTTTAATATTCTGTGCCAGTACAACGACCGTGACTGACTTTGGTAGAATTCAATCAACATTTAGTTTCTTTTCCATTTTTTCCTCTCAAGTTGGCCCAGTAATTAACTTCATTAACTGCTGAGTGTCTTCCAGTGTGGAACTGTATGAGTGTTTCTAGGTACCATAAACTGATATAAATTCTGCTGATGAGGAAAATGATGTCAATCATTTTTTAGTGCAAATTGTGTTTGGAATACTTGTTAGTTCTGGTGATGAAAATTTTTGTTGCAGCAAATCATTTCTACAATGAAAGATAACTTGTTAAACTTTTCCCCTGGAGATTGACTGCATTCAAAAACCAATATATTTTAAAACTGTTCAACATAGACAAATTTAAGAAATAAAAACTGATGGTGAAAATTGTTCTTGGTTCTTTTTACTTTCATGAGAAAAGATGAGTGTTAAGGTGACAATTTGGTTCCATGGATTTGCAGGCAGACTGTTCCTAAAGGTTTCTGAAGCTATGATGGGTCTCTTGTGTCCCAGCAGCATGAAAGACAAAGACTGCATCACACCACACTAGGCAGACAGTGTTTACAGGATTACACAGCAATTACTCTCTCCAGTCTTTTCACGGTTCCTTTGACCTAGACAAAGAAGAAAAGTGTAAGAACACTAGAACAGGGGCACCAAAGTATAATAATAATTTTTGTACTTTTTGCATTTTTTAAAATTAAATGGCTGTTAATAAATTCTCTTTTAATGTTAGCATAGTCCAAAAATGTCTTACTGTTTGCTTGGCAAGCTCTTTTCATAAAGTATGAGAACTTCCCCTCCTTCAGAAAAGCCAAGAAAATCCCAGCCATTTTTGAATGCCTGTCTTTGTGGCTCAAATGAGACATTTCTTCAGTGTATGGCTTACCTTGAGAGTTTGGCTCTGGCAATGTCTCTCTGGCCACCAAATGCATCACTGTTGTTTTACCAAAAGGAAGTTTTAATGCTAGAGAAAAAGCAGAAGACAATTTGTTACATACACAATGATGCGTTAAAATTATTAACTAGAAGTAAAAGCATTTAAAAAATGAATTGCATTTTGTATGATTTCCTCAAAGACAGAACTTCTTACTCAAGAAAAGATCTCTACATACCACGATTAAATTAATATTACCAGAGATAACTTTCACAGTTTCAAAATGACTGTTCCTACCTATGGCCCTTATTAGTTTGGCAAATATATCTGTATCATTTAATGAAGGGGACAAAGAGAAAATATATAATTAATTTGTTATTATCAGTGATCACCTTTGGGAGAGATAAGAATCTTTTAAAAACATTTTTAAGTATACTTTTTGCAAATTAAGGAAAAGTTTGGGTTAACAGATGATCTAATTATGTATCAGTTACTGCACTGATTACTACTTAATGTAGAAACAGGAAACAAATTTAATTTTCTTTTTTAAACTTAATTTTAAATATTAATCCCATATTCTTCAACTAGGAAAAAAAATTTCTATTTTTAGGTTAGATTCATTGTTTTAGTATTACTAATAATAGTTTCTAATCAAGTCTTTAAAAAAGTCTTCTCATTTGTTCTCTGCAGAAAACTACATACAGCCAGCACAATTTGTGGAGTTGTTTCCATAGTTTTACTGTTTTAATACATCACACTGCTTTCTCCTTGTCAGCTACAAATTATCAACAGTAGAGGGCCCAGGAGACAGTTTAGCATCATAAGTGCCTGCCTGGCCTGCTTAAGGTCCTGAGTTCGATTCCTGGTATCAGAAACACACACACACACACTAGTAGATACTGATGCAAACAATATTAAAAGGAAAAGAAAGAGATTAACAGAAACTTAACATGCTGTTTTCTTGAGTGTGGATGCTTTTCCTTTCTATTGGCACTAGACAGTATTCTAGAAGAGGTTTCAGCCATTAAGAAATAATTAGAGAAATTCTGTATCATTTTAATTTT